TCTCTGATGTGACTGTGTTTCCATTTGCCTTTGTTTCTGTCTCCTCTCCCTCTCTCTCTCTCTCTCTCTCTGCATCAAAACTGTGTGTAAAGCGTGTAAAGCCTCATATCACCACAATCAGTGGTTCACAGGAAGCAAACATCAAAGGATATATGTTAAAGGTGTGCATCAAAACTGGCTGGTTACTGTGTAAAGCCTCATATCACCACAATCAGTGGTTCACAGGAAGCAAACATCAAAGGATATAATCATTAAATGTTAAAGGTGGCCAAATCAGAACTACTTCTTGTTCGAATCCACTTGGATGCATGTCGGAAGAAAAGATCTCTCGCTACTTCTGTTTCACCACAACTAGTTTTTTTTTGTAAATTTGAGGAATTTTAAAATATAAAAGTTTTTTTTAAATTAATTTGTAAAGTGGTTGCTAATAGAGGGAGACCTTGAGAGTGAGGAATGAAGGACGATTTAGTTTCTTGGACTTGATTTCAAAAACAGAAGTTTTGTGGAGCACAAAGGCTCCATTCATTCCCATCCAACTTTGCACACAATGGAGCGAACCAGAAAACAAAACAGCAGCTTTTTTTCAGCATCACAGGGTGTTGTTTGTGATATTAAAGCTGCACACACACCCGGTTCACATGTCTCTGTGGACTAATATACATGGAGAAATGCATATTCCTTCTTGCATGGGTTTATTAAGCTTTCTAAACTCAAGTAGTCTGAAAGAAACTGTATGGCATCAGCATCAGATTCAGTCAGGACATGGAAAGACACTAAAGAGAATTAAATGGATTCACAAATATTCCCAGTGCAAACATGCATTATTATGATCGTTTTCATAACAACCAGCTGCTCCATTAAAGCTTAAGCATAATGGCTACCCTGCACTCCATATTATAGTAGACAGAGAATTATATACTATAAGATTACTGTATGCAATGAATGGCCAATGGTCACATGTAGACCATAATGTATGCATGCATTTTATATAATAATATTATATTATTTATATAAAATAATTTTAATGGAATTTATTACTGAAATGAAGCTGGGTTTAAGTAATCCAGTCTTTAGTGTCACAGCATTCTTCAGAAATCATTCTAATATGCTCATTTGCTGCTCAAGAAACATTTCTTATTATTATTATTATCAATGTTGAAACAGTGGAAGCCGTGATACACTACCATTCATCAAGTAAGTAAGATTTAATAAAAAAAAAAAAAGAAAGAAAGAAAGAAAAGAAAAGAAAAGAAATTGATACTTTTATTTAGCAAGGATGCATCGAATTGACCAAAAGTGAAAGTAAAAATTTATAATGTTACCAAAGATTTCTAATTCAAATAAATGAAATTTCTTGTTTTCATTTTCATCAAGGATTCCTGAAAAAAACTTTTTTTCAACACTGACATAATACGAACATCATTAATAATTGAGCACCAATAATAATTGATAATACGGCTAGCAAATCAGCATATCAGAACGATTTCTGAAGGATCATGTGACACTGAAGACTGGAGTAATGATGCTGAAAATTCAGCTTTGCATCACAGGAATAAATTACATTTGAAAATATATTCAAATAGAGAACAGTTATTTTAAATTATAATAACGTTTCACAGTATTACTGTATTTTTTATCAAATAAATGCAGCCTTGATGAACATAAGAGCCTTAAAAAACATTTAATACACACACATTTGGCCAGTCCATAATGTAAATACACAACCTTTTTTTAGTTAGATATATTATATTCTTGTTCACCATCTGGCATCATGACCAGCATACTCTTAAAGGAAATGACATACTCCTCAGTGAAAACATTCTGTATGCAAGCCAGAAAAATGTCACGCAGAAACAAAGGAGTGCTTTGACTTAAGGAACAAGCTAGTGGAGCCTGACTCACTTTCAATTTGGAAATGCATTCAGACAGTGTACCGAGACGAGAGCAATATTTCTGAGGTGTGTTATATGCTACCCTGCCAAAATAAATCTATTGCTTTAGTTGATTTTATTAATAACAATGTTATTCTTATATATGCTATTTGCAAACATGTTTATACAAAATCCAAAACACTTCTCGTACACCTGCTCTCACCATGCAATTAAAAGAGACATTTTAATTTATAGATCCATGAATACATCTATTTGGGAGGTTTGTTTACTGCTTTAACTGAGCACCTTAAAGGGGTGTCATTAATGTCAGCCATACAAGACTATTGTGCACTGTACTCTGACTTTAATTAGTGCAGCTGATTTCTGATATGTACAGTAAGAGAAATGTCACTTTTCATTATGAGTCACCTTTCAGTAAAATACTTTGCGTGTAAGCTGTGTCACAAAACCCCCAATGTTGACCCAAATAAAGAACGTGAAAAAAGACAAAAAGCATTACTCGGGTGAGATCATAACAAGAAATTATGACTTCAGCGTCCAGTTATAGTGTAACATGTCATGGCAAGTAAAACATACAAACACATTCTAACTTTTGTTACCATCTAGTCTAGTCCAGTGAATAGAAGAAACAACGAATTCATCCTTTAAGAAGCTGTCAGTGTTATTTTTTTAAGGAATCAATGAGTTCAACCAAACCAGTAACAATGAATAGTGTATTATGGGACATATTAGCCTATATATGGCAGTAGGTGACATATATCACATTCTATTATCTATTAAAAATCGGTTTAACAATCACTTTTTTTATTATTTAAAAGATATTTGTCTTTGTAACTAAGATTTTTCTGTTGTGAAACATCACATTTAAATTAAATATAAACAAATGTCTTCGTCAGTAATGCCATTTGAAGTGATTGAAAATATGAGACAGCAGTAAACGTGTACAGTAGCTAATGACGCAAGTGTATGAAGTTCATTGAGTTCTGTACAGTAGCACAGCGAAGGCTCAATAATAGCGCCCTCATTATTGAACCTCACAGGGATTCCATAAGAAAGGATGAGCGTCCCAAATAATCAGTGAACACTCAAACTAGGTGATGGGAAAAAGGGGTACTGATCTAACTTATACAAATAAATCAGGCTTTACACTCTTAAAAATATAGTGGGGGGGGTTATTTTTGGTTCCCTAAAGAAGCGTTCAGAGAACAGTTCTTAAAAAGAAAAAAAATGTCTTAGTGCCAAGAACATTTAAGCATCTAAAGAACCTTTTTCCACTATAAAGAACCTTTTGTGCAATGGAAAGTTTCCGTGGATGTTAAAAGGTTCTTCACGGAACTATAGATGCCAATACAGAACCTTTATTTTTAAGAGTATAGGAGCGCTGCAACATGGGCAGAGTTGTAACATCATCAATTCATGCAATTATAAACGAGTTAGAGGGGTGAAATCACTATTGTACAAGACCACCAGCCTCTTGAGGTGACAGGAGGCGTATGATTCTTTATAGAACGGGATTTTCTGATGAAGCGTATGAATACTTTCATCTTTGGCTCATAATTTGTAAGGGATCCACAAAAATGTCATAATATTTGCCACAACTGGTTTTCAACGTGGCATTTTATTGGCCACAAAAGTTAGATTACACAAATGCTGGTGCTTACGTTTACTTGGCTATAAACGTGAACTAAACAAATCAAGAATGCACCACAGCAACGACGCTTAATTATTGGACTGGCATTATTAACCACTTGATTATAGATATCATTCACAGGTATGCCGAACGTATGCATTTTGTCTAAAAAGCCAAATATGAATTCTGGAGGCTTGAGATGAACCTCAAAAAAGACTGCAACCCTAAAAATGTTTTAAAAATGTAAAATTTGTTTAATATGTTTACTATTTCAAATGTTTAAAATTAGGCTAAAGGTGGCAAGTTGGGATGGGGTATATTGGGGATGGCATAATAAAACATTTTGCATCTGATTTTAGAAAAAAAAACTGAACCTGAACTTGAAACTGAATCTGATTTTAGTTATACTAATGCACAACATTAAAATTGGTAAGTGCTAATCTATTAATGTTAGACCTGTAAATAACTCTTTGTAGGCTACTTGACATTATTTTCACAATTTTTGCGATAAATGGTTTATTTCAAAACTATATTTTGAAGCATATTATATCAAAGTGTTAGACACCAACACGGGTCTTTCAGTAGAATTTACTGCATTTTCACAGTCACGATGTAATCTCTAGTCACTCCAGTTATTGCATTCAATCCAGGACACACACAGGATGCACGTGTTAGTGTACAGTAAACTCGATGCATCGCTTCAGAGAGAAAGCCGATTATCTGTAGTACGCACTTGACTCTGCTGCTGTCATATACATCTGAGATAAACGCTTAGAAGATCGCAATGAAAAGAGTCTCTATTAACACAAATACAGGACCGCAGGCGTCTGCTCCACGCTCAACGTAGAATAATCGATAGGTCTCGATTTAATCGACGAATTATGCCTGTCTTGTACAGTATATACCGGCTTCTCGCGTTTCAAACAAACGGAACAAAGGAACTGAATTGGCTGAACGAAATAGCCACACACACACACACACACACATATATATATATATATATATATATATGCATATAATAGCCATATATCACACTCACATTCACATGCACTGACAGAAAGAATCACTGATGCATTACAAACAAAGCCATGGTGCTACAAACACAAGCGCTTACCCAAAATATTATGTTAAATCCAAATATGAAATATTTGATGCAGCAGCTGACTTCTTGACCCTTGTAATGCTTTCCTGACATCATTTGGCTGGTTTTCTCCAGAACAAACTTAAAACGCGAATTTCGAAGCAGGTTCAGTTTATTATTCCGTTCTTAGGACATCGATGTCAAACTGTCCCAGTAATGCTATTATCCGCATAAAAGAAACATAATGCTGAGCAACTTCAACAGCGCCTAAATTTGGTACAAGGCTAACTGTCATTTATAAACGCATCCGCTGACTTTAACACAGTGCGCCTCGAAATAACAGCCCCTTCTTCTCCGCAATTAGTTGACAACGCTTTTTTTTTGACTTGACATGGCTGCTTTTGATTGACAGCGCTAGTAACCAATCAGCTGCCGCGCCTCAACCCTCCCCCACTAGGACACGCCTCCCCATTGCTCAATTTTTAGGCTGTTATTTGATGCACAGTTTATTCTGTAACAAAGTGAATGGTTAGAACGATCGCTTTTTGTAAACTGCATTCTAAAAAGTGAAATAATTGCTGTCTGAATGCGGGAGAGACCATGATCAGTGCCGTTTTCTCACATAGGGCAACAATTATATATTGTACTATGAATATTTTACTATTTTATAACCTAAAATGTGACCCTGGAACACAAAACCAGTCTTAAGTCGCTGGGGTATATTTGTAGCAAGAGCCAACAATACACTGTATGGGTCAAAATTATCGATTTTTCTTTTATGCCAAAAATCACTAGGATATTAGGATCATGTTCCATGGAGATATTTTGCAAACTTCCTACCGTAAATATATCAAAACGTAATTTCTGATTAGTACGGTAATATGCATGGCTAAAAACTTAATTTGGACAACTTTAAAAGCAATTTTCTCAATATTTCGATTTTTTTTGCACCCTCAGATTCCAGATTTTCAAATAGTTGTATCTCGAACAAATATTGTCCTATCCTAACAAGCCATACAGCAATGGAAAGCGTATTTATTCAGCAAACAATGAACCTTATGACTGCTTTTGTTGTCCAGGGTCACAAATGCTTATGTTTTTCATAATATTGTAAACATAAATCATATTGAATTATATAGCCTAATATGTGGGCCTATATAACCATAAAAATCCTATGGAATATAGAATAGAATATAGAAGACTGGGCTTCTACTCACACTTTACATACATTGTAAAGTAGCCTATAACAATTAAACTGGAACGTTGTATCTAAATCTGGAATCACTACAATTGCTGACAGAAAAATGTGGAAGGAAATTTCAGAACAGGTTGTTTCGGTTTCATATCCCCAAGGCATTATCAGAGGCTTCCAAGAACTATTGAAAACTTCCCTAAATTGTTTGTCCAAATGGTAAAATGAGCACCATGGTCTCAAATTCAAAATTCAGGTCACATTTATATTCCTCATCATGTCACATCCATATATACACTTTTTATTTCTTGTCAGTACTAAACATATGTACTTCAACATAGGTGAACATTGTATAGATACATTGATAGTACCGTCGCCTACTTTTTCTTGCTCTATTATGACATCCTGTGGCCAAAAGTATACATCTGCAATGGTCTCCCAAGTAGTTGTCCAAAACAAAAAATTCCAGTACAAAGTATGTGAACCCGGCCGTTTCAGCATTATTCACACAGGCATCCTAAGAATATTGCTGAATTAAAGATTTTGTGAAGAGAAATGTTGCAGAATACCTTCTGATTGTTGTGCATTTACCTCCTGACTGCAGATAACAGCTGCAGTCGCATTATAAAGGTTTTTAGCATTAAAATAAAAATAATTAAAATAAAGCTATGAAAATGAAAGCTATACTCTATTAGCTATACAGCTATTGGGTTGTTTTGACCCAGCGGTTGGGTTGTTTTGAACCCAACCGCTGGGTCAAAACAACTCAATAGCTGGGTTTGTCCCTTTTTAACCCAGCGCTGGGTTATATTTAACCCATCATTTTTTAGTGTATGAATAGTTTGTGTGCTATTTGTTTAAAGAAATAGTTTACACAAAAATGAAAATTTGCTGAGTTTGTTTCATCATCAGAATAGATTTGGAGAAATTTAGCATCACTTGCTCACCAATGGATCCTCTGCAGTGAATGGGTGCCGTCAGAATGAGAGTCCAAGCAGCTGATAAAAACATCACAATAATCCATAAGTAACAAGTCAATCTCTGTTGTCCTCACATCAAAATCCACCAAGACAATCCAGTCAAGATGACTTTTCACTGTAGAAAGCAATATTATGGATATAGGACTTGTACTTTAGCCAGAAGCAATTTTGAAATTGAAAACGTCTTAATGATGTATTTGTTTATTACAGTACAAACACACAGCCTTTTCATCGAGCAGTAGGCTGGCACACACATCTCTCTGCTCTGATATCCTTTAGCTCTTTTATAATAATGTCCGCTGTGTCGCTGCTGTACATCACGATGAGAGATGAAAGGCCTTGTGGAGAGCAGTTTGATCTAGAAAATATATGAAAACAGTTTCAAGGTCAACATCTGTCACAACTGCGTATTCAAAACTAAGACTCACAATTGTCATTCATAAGTATAAAAAGCTGCAGAGAAGACTTAACGCACCTTTGTAAATAGTTTTCTCCATGGTGTTTTCGATGTCTCTGAACAGACATGGATGACGCAGATATTTCTTTCAAACAGATACCTCTAAAAAGGCAAAAATGGAAGGACATCATTATTTTGTTCTATTACATACAATGAATACATAATGCAATATTATGTTATATGTTAACCATAGAGGAGTGTTGAGGAAGTGAAGCTAGGCCTACTTTGAAAGTGTTGGCCAAAAGCGATCTGAAGTAATTAAACTATTGTCAAACCAATGTTTTTAAACGTTAACAGGTAAATTTATATTAAAAACAACAAAGACGCACTTACAGCACACAATAATAGGCCTAAAGGGACTTCTAGATTTGGTGAATCATTTTTAAATGAACCGACAGCATGATTCATTAGAACGAGTCAGACGTTCCAAGGAAAGCCCCGTTTGTGACGAACCGACTCACTGGAAAGATTCGGACTTTCCAGTCTACATATGAATCATGTGATTCACCAGAAATAATTGGACTTTCTAGTCCAGTCTATGAAGACTGTTATATGATTCACCAGAAATAATTGGACTTTCTAGTCCAGTCTATGAAGACTGTTATATGATTCACCAGAAATAATTGGACTTTCTAGTCCAGTCTATGAAGACTATTATATGATTCACCAGAAAGAATCGGACTTTCCCACGGATTATTTAGGTGAGTGTAGGCCAGGGGTGTCCAAACTCGGTCCTGGAGGGCCGGTGTCCTGAAGAGTTTAGCTCCAACCCCAATTAAACACACCTGAACCAGCTAATCAAGCTCTTACTAGGCATGCTAGAAACTTAAAGGCAGGTGTGTTGAGGCAAGTTGGAGCTAAACTCTGCAGGACACCGGCCCTCCAGGACCGAGTTTGGGCATCCCTGGTGTAGGCTATTCCCTCACCTACTACTATCACATTAAAACATGTTGCGTTTGACCAAACTGCTACTCGTTGTAAAAAGTAGCTCGCTTTAAATTCTATCAAGCTGCTGAATATAGCGTTATAGTGTCGCTAGTTTTCGTTAATCACTGCCATAGACATTTAATTGCACTTAATCACTTAATTGCATTATGCTATTTAAAACAAAATTAAACTGTATTATAGTTTACATTTATATTAAACGCAATTAGTTGAACTCAAAGCTTTTTTAACCAACTAACCAGTCCATCTTTAGCTATTTATTAGGCTACTTCTGTTGTATTTTGAAATATGCTTAAAGTGGTGAATGTGCTGACAAGCATTAAGTAAATTAAAATATACTTAAATTAAAAATATAAGCCATTAAATAATTAAAATGTAAGTCATTTCCATTGAAACTTGTATGTCATGTATTTAAATATATTTCTAATTACACATTTGTAACGATGAAGATGCAATTTAATACGTATTAACTTAATGCAATATTGACTAAAACACTGCTAAAATTAGAATCAAGTACTTCTCCTGTGATTTAGTGTGTTAGTCAACACATCAAAATAAGCTTACTCCTTTAATAAAGCCCGATAAAATATTATTATAACATAATGATTTAAAATGTACTGTAAAGTCAAACTTTTAATTTGACATTGTTACAAAGTGCACTTTTTAAAAGTGTACTTAAGTGTGTTAAGAAAAAGTCATAAAACTTTCTCTCTTGAAGTATACTTAGGCTAAGTGGCCATTTATTTAATTAATATTACATTATCTGCAAGTAAAGTGTTTTAAAAATATGCTTGAAGGATTTGAAGTACACTACAAGTGCACGTTCAATAAAATTAAGTGCACTCGTTTTTCACAAAGGAAATCACACACTATCATTATAAAAATTAGTACCGCAATTTGTACAGTTTTCCTTGGCACATTCTTAGACTTATACATATTGTCAAGTCCTCTGACTCATCCTTTTGGTATATTACACACACTGTAAAAAATGACCGTGAATTTAACGGTAAAAGACTGTAAAAATGCTGATGCAGTAAAAACCTGTTAAATGGTTAACGGTAAGTTCCCTTACTATATACGGTGAAAAACTGTATTGGGCATTACATGTCATTTTACAGTAATATACTGTTTTTGGAAGTGAAAAAGATATATTGTATAATTTACAGTGAATTAACATTCTCAGAATTCCCTGAGTTAAATTTCAAATTTGATGTTTTTTTGTTGTTGTTGCAATAACTATGTTTCTTCTTAGTTTTTTCTTATCAGTTGTGTGCATTAGGGTTTATGTTACATCTAATGTTGTTAAATGAATGTTTATTGCATTATTTCCATTTCATGTGTGTTACCATGAGGGTGTTTAGTGTTTGTGTGAATGACACTGTGCACCTTCTATATATGTTATTATTTAAAAGCTGATTGTGATGGGCTTTGGTTCATCACGTGACTTTCTCATCACCACCTGCTTTTGGTGGTTATCAGTGTATTACAAAGGTACAAAACAGATTTCAGTTCTTCAATAGATTGGTGTATTAATATTAATTAATATGATTTATATCAGTTATATAATTACGGTATTTAAATGTAAATTTAAGTTAAATCCGTAAAACCTAAAAAGTTGCTACCGTATTTTTTTACGGTAAAATTCTTGCAACCACAGCTGCCGTTTTTTTACTGTATTTTTTTTTTACAGTGCACAGATAGGATCATACCTAGATTTATTTAACGATCATGATTAGATTTATTTGTAATAGTGCTGTCAAACGATCTGTCCTCTCAGAGAGACGTCTAAGTTTACTTCACTATATTACAAACTAGTGCTGTCAAACGATTAATCGCGATTAATCGCATCCAAAATAAAAGTTTTTGTTTACATAACATATGTGTGTATACTGTGTATATTAATCATGTATATATAAATACACACACATACAGCATACAGACAAAAACTTTT